TGCGTGTTACGCTCTGTGTTGCACCGCGTGTGTGCATGACACGGTGCGTGTGTTCATGACACGGTGCGTGTGTGCATGACACGGTGCGTGTGTTCATTTCACCGTGCGTGTGTGCATTTCACCGTGCGTGTGTGCATTTCACCTTGCGTGTGTGCATGACACGGTGCGTGTGTGCATGACACCGTGCGTGTGTGCATTTCACTGTGCGTGTGTTCATTCATGTGTGAGTTACGCTGTGTGCACGGGCTGTGCCGTGTGTGTGTTTTATGGCATGTGCGTTTGTGTTACACCGTGCATGTAAGGCCATGTGTGTGTTACAGTGTGTTAGGCCGTGCATGTGATGCTGTGTGCTCGTGTGTGTCGCCCAGTGCCCAGTGTGCCTGCACATGTTGTGGCGTGCGTGTGTTACACTGTGGCCACTCCAAAAGCCAGTGTAGGAGGGACATCGTAAGATTTTTTTTGTACATATAAGCACTTTTCTCTGCTCCCCAGCTCCTTCTTCTCCAGTCCAACTTACTCATTTCAGCCTGGTCTTCCTGCTCGCTCCTGCCACATTATCCCATTTTTTTTTTCATTCACGTATTTGCAGCCCTACATAGTTTTCTTATCTAACCCCCAGTCTCCAAGCACAGTGTTTCCAGGTTCCCCATTAACTCCACAACTGGTTTCCCCCCTCTCTTTGCTCACAGCTCCTCGTCACCAGCCAGTGTCCAGCCAGCCAGCCTCATTGTTACAGTTCTGATCATTTGTGGCTAAGTTTCCCTTAGTTTCCCTCCCTGAGGAAACTCACAGAGGGGTGAGTGGAGCAGGGCAGGGCTGGTGTGCCTTCGCCTGGGGCTGCTCCCCATCTGTATATATGCTACACTGTGTCTGCTTTAAAACCAGGCATAGGGTGGACATCGAAGTCATAACGTTGTTCTCTTGTCTTACTTTCTTTTGTTTGGCTCTAGGAGGATGTTGTTACTCTGCAGCCTGACGGATAATCCCACACAGAATCACTGAATCAATTAGGTTGGAAAAGACCTCTGTGATCATTGAGTCCAGCCTATGACTGTTCATAACCTTGTCAACTAGACCAGAGCACGTCCAGGCTTTCCTTAAACTTCTCCAGGGATGGTGACTCTACCACCTCCTTTGGCAGACCCTTCCAATATCTGAGCACCCTTTCTGTGAAAAAAAATCCTCCTGATGTACAGCCTAAGCCTTCACTGGCACATCCTGTCGCTGGTTGCTGGGCGAAGAGGCTGATCCCTGCCTGGCTAAAACTTCCTTTCAGGTAGTTAAAGAAGTAGTGGTAAAAGCCACAAGCTTTTGAAGTAATGAAATAATTAGATAGAGGTTGTACTGGTCAGAAGCCAATATTAGGTAAAACTAAAATAAAGCTTAGGAGGAAAAAAAACAGGATACAGAAAACTGGATGGTAGGAATTAGGTGAGGGCTCCCTCAGCAAATATGTCCTGTTTAAAAGTAGGTAGAGCACCTATGAAATTATAAATGCTGATGGCAAGTGATGATGGTTTCAGGTATAATACTGTTGTACTTTTAAGAATTCTGCTGTGATACATCCTTTTTGTATCTTCACATCAAAAATCCTCCTATTCTGGAGATGTGCTGGGCTTTAGGAAGGATAATACAAAGACACAAAATAGTCAAGAGTTTAAGTTTTCAAAAGAGCATAAAGGAAAAATAACAAAAAAACCCCTACTTATTTGATTACTTTTGAGCTTCAAATATTTTAAGCTTGCTTTGTTTAGTATGAGCAGGATTAAAGCTGTCTTATACATGAGGAAGTCTTGTCATCAAGTGCACTTGACCAATTATAATAACATCAGTTTATTTAGTGTTGATTGCCTGAATTGTACCTTGGTTATGTAGCTGAAGTAGTTTTGAGTAGTCATTTAAGCTAATGCTAAAGAGAATTGTAGCTGCACCCCATTTGTTTGACTTTACTGGGCAGTCACCAAAATTCATGGACAGTGAACTGTAGAAATGAATTACTCAGATAAGTAATCTTTTTTAAAATAAACTAATTTAGGTTAGATTTAGTCCAGATAGCTGCCATCTGATATAGTGGTGCAGGTAGCATAAATAAATGTTCATGCTGATACAAGGAAACACAAAAATAAAAGAGAGCAGGATCATTTTCAATTGTAGTAATAATATAGGAGCATAATTGCATAATGCTAGAGTGAATTTTAAAACATTTAAAATCTGTTTCAGTAGGAAAAAAATACTTCTCACATAACTAATAAGAAAATTGTATCTTCTGCCCAATATTTTCTCCTCCAGATTGCTTCGCCAAACAGAAGTACTGGCATGCTAAAATCCTTTTTGGGGCTCTGAGCAAGCTAGACCAGAATGTTACCATGGCAGTATTAAAATTAAATTGCACATATTTCTGAGCTGCCACTTCTGACCAAACTCTCTGCTGATACTGGTTGTATCATATGAAGCACTATACAAGTATGTTATGGCTGTTGCCTTCCAGATGTGTGTATATTTGCGTAGAAGCTATCCTGATGAAATCAAGGCAAGAACTTGTTTATAAAGTAGACTTACTGAGGTCTGCTGGATGGTGGGTTTTATGTGGAAACTTATTCTTAAGTGCTTTCTATGTGATGGAAAGAAAATGGACTTAATAGTTTTCAAAACACAGTAGTAATACTAGAAGCATTATTTAAAGCACGTCATTTAAAAATAAAAATTAGTTTACATTACTACTTAGTTGGAAATTTCAAAAATTATCTTCTGTTGTAGAGTGCAGAAATCCCTGAAATAATTTTTCCTGTACAGTAGCCTTTGAAGTGTACATCTGTATTTTAAATAATCCTCTTGATTATTCAAGTCTTATTCAGAATATGTTTCCAAGTATGTCTAGAGAACATTTAACAGGGATTATATACTGTATTAGTGTTGAACATATAATCTGTATTCTGATAAATTATTCTTAAAGGAATTTTGTGTGTTTGTGTTGCTTTTTTCCCTGCATCTTCAAAGATAGCTGCATTTTAAATACAGAATTTTCTCTCACATAATAGTGGGTATAAAATAACTTTTTCTGTGTGCTTCTCGAAATGGACTGTATGTCTCTTTCCCAAGATGAAAGTTGGTATGCCTTAATATTCTGAGAGTACTGTTGGTGTGACTGTGTACTCCTGCAGGTTTCCTGCCATGAAAAATTTATCCGCAAGAGAATATTTAAAGTCTGAAATGCTTCTGTGATTCTTCTTACTTATACATTTGTCTTCCAAGCATTACAGCCCCATTGCTGGGATAACCTGAGTGTAAGACCTAAATGGACATCAGATTAATCTCACAGAGCTGGTTTTGTAGATTTATATCCAGAAGTATCTATTCACAGTAACTCTATGATCGATCCCCAAGATACTTCTATCCAGAAGGGTTCACAGAATCACTTAAGTTGGAAGAGACTTTCAAGACTGAGTCCAACCCAGACCTAACACCTCAACTAAACCATGGCACTGAGTGCCACATCCATTCTTTTTTTTAAACACATCCAGGGATGGTGACTCCACCATTTCCCTGCGCAGACCATTCCAGTATTTCATCAGTCTTTCCATAAAAAACTTTTTCCTAATATTCAACCTGTATTTCCCTTGGTGCAGCTTAAGACTGTGTCCTCTCTTTCTGTTAGTTGATGCCTGGAGAAAGAGACCAACCCCACCTGACTACAAACACCTTTCAGGGAGTTGTAGAGTGACAAGGTCACCTCTGAGTCTCCTTTTCTCCAGGCTAAACAACCTCAGTTCCCTCAGTTGCACCTCACAGGGTTTGTGTTCCCAGCCCCTCACCAGCCTCGTTGTCTTCTCTGGACTCACTCCAGCATCTCAACATCCTTCCTAAACTGAGGAGCCCAGAACTGGACACAGAACTCAAGGTGTGGCCTCACCAGTGCTGAGTACAGGGGAAGAATGACCTCCCTGCTCCTGCTGGCCACGTCCTGATCCAGGCCAGGATGGCATTGGCCCTCTTGGCCAGCAGGGCACACTGCTGGCCCATATTCAGTCGGGTGTCAACCAGCACCCCCAGGTCCCTTTCTGCCTGGGCAGTGTCTAGCCACACTGTCCCCAGCTTGTAACATTGCAGGGGGATTTTGTGGCCAAAATGCTGGACTCAGCACTTGGACTTAATAAACTTCACTTTATTGGACTCTGCCCATCCATCCATCCAATTGTTCCAGGTCTCTTTACAGGGCCTTCCTACTTTCCAACAGATCGACACACACTCCCAGTTTAGTGTCATCTGCAAATTTACTAATGAAAGATCAATACCCTCCTCCATGTCATCAGTAAGAAATATTGAACAGACCTGGCCCCAGCACAGCCCCCTGAGGGACACCACTGGTCACTGTCCCTCAGCTGGATGCAGCACCGTTCACCACCACTCTCTGGGCCATCCAGCCAGTTCCTATCCCAGCACAGAGTGCTCCTGCCCAAGCCGAGGGCTGACAGCTTTTCCAGGGGTGTGCTGTGGGGGACAGTGTCTGAGGCCTTGCTGAAGTCCAAATAGACACATCCACAGCCTGTCCAACATCTACCTGGTCATAAAAGGAGACCAGGTTGGTAAACATGACCTACTGTCGCTCTATTAGGACCGGCTGGGTTGAGACAACACAGACTCTCATGGAGTCAGAACAGAAGAATTCTCTAGTTTATTACTTTAGGCTTGTTTTACAGACTGGTTCGTGGAAAGTACAGAAGGGAAACTTATTGGTTAGCAAACCACTACATCACCATCATTGGTCAGTGGGGCACAACACCCTCTGACTTTCTCTTGCAAGGAAAACAAGGGACAGACAAACAGCACCTGGCACAGCTGTTTTCTGTCTCTGAGGATTGTTTTCAAATCCTCCCATGAATTTCTCAGGCTAGCTCTCAGGCAGGACTTAGAGCTATGTGGCCTGTAATTTCTGCAGGCTCCCTGCAGCCTGCTCCAGAGCTAGCATCCACAACCTACCTCTCCTAAATCCCTGCTGGCTGGGTCTGATACCCTGGCCATCCTGTAAGTGCTGTGTGATGACACTCAGTATAAACTGCTCCATTACCTTACCGGGTACTGGGGTGAGGCTGACTGGCCGATGATTATCACTATCCTCCTTCCCACCCTTTTTGTGAATGAGTGTCACACTGGCCACCTTCCAGTCATCTGGAACATCCCCAGTGAGCCAGGACTGCTGGTAAATGATGGAGAGTGGCTCCACAAGCTCAGCTACCAGCTCCCTCATCACCCTGAGATGGATCCCATCTGGGCCCATAGATTTATGAACATCCAAGTGGCTCAGCAGTTCTGACTGCCTCCTCCTAGATAACAGGGGGAACATTCTGCTCCCTGACACCATCTACCAACCCAGGAGGACAGTTATATTGAGGACAAGCTGTCTTCCCACTGAAGACTGAGGCAAAGAAGGGATTAAGCACATCTGCCTTCTCCTCATCTGCAGTTACTGCGTTCCCTTCTGCATCTAGTAGAGAATAAAGGTTTGTCTTACCCTTCCTTTTGCTGTTAATATATTTGTAAAACCTTTTTTTATTTTCCTTTACAAAAGTTGCCAAATTAAGCTTGAACCGAGCTTTGGCCTCCCTAATTTTTTTCCTACATGACCAAGCCAACCCCCTTAAACACTTCCTGAGAGACCTGACCCTCCTTCAAAAGATGATACATCCTCTTTTCATTCCTAAGTGCCTGCTGTTCTGAAGAACTGGAAGGGAATAACCAAGTCTTGCAAGTGGTGTGTCAGACCTCTGGGGACAGGTGAACTCAGGTTGAGTATGCAAGACTAGTGACCAATATGCAACATAACTCCTACCCTAAGTTACACTAATGCAGCATCCCAGCTCCTCTCTTGAGGTTAGCTTTTTGCAAATTAAAGTTAACAATGTCTATGATGATATTAAAAGGTTATCAGACCAAATTTCCATTGCATTTTCTGTTTCACTGGGATTGTTGTTATGGTTCTGATTCAAGGAATGGTGATTTTCATAGGTTTTTTATCAGATCTTCAATATGAGGAAACCCAGAGGGCCACTGTCTTTGCAGCACTGGACTTTGATGTGAGGATCTGCCCAAAAACCATGGTTTTGTGCACAGGTTGTCTGTATTCTTACCTGCTCTACTTCTTACACTTTTTACTCAGCTGTGTTCTGGCCTACAGCTGCAGGGGGAAGCTGCCATTTAAATTCCAAGCAGCTGCTCTTAGTCTGGGCTTCCACCTGAGCTGCTGCAGTTTCTGAAGTTCCAGCCAGTGCAAGATCATAGCCTCCCACCCCATGCTGTGCTGCAGGTACACGGTTACACCACCGTGAAGGAGTTAGGAGTGAGAGTCTGACTGCTCTTTTCCCTATTTGCTTGCCCCTGCTCAGGGTTGTATATTTGTCTGCACAAGCCTTGTTAATCCCCAGTGTTAACACCAACCTCTTAAAGGACCTGTACCTTGACCAAAATTTCACTGAAAACTGCAGTGTGACAATAATGCTAGTTTCTGGTTTGCAAATGCAGCACCAGCTTGCTCTTCTGTTGCTGTTGTCACCCAACAGCAACACTTAAGTTTCAAGTTTAATTTCCAAGGTGTTCCAGGATCAAAATAATTTCTAACACTTGTGTTAGGTTTTATAATCTTCAATATTCACTTATTTCCTCACCATTTATAGCATACTCAGCCTTGTAAAAATAATTAGTCAAAATCAGGAGCAAGTAATTTGTTGGTGAGTTGAACTTTAAAGCAATAGATGGTCTGTTGATGGGTTAAAAGTGGAACTTGAAAGAGAAGATGCAAGCTTCACTAAAGTACAATGCAAATCAGGTCCCAGTGTGACTGAATTCTGCTAATTGCTGATCTGGGATATATGTCCTTTGAATGGCAGAAGCTTGTTAGAGATACCCAGTGTTTGTGTAACACATACGTGCTGTAGATAAGGACTCAAGTGGCTCAATGGAGCAATAACTTCAATACTTTGCCTTATTCCTTAGCTTCCTGTTCTGAGCAAGCAAGTTTATATGTTGTTTGCCAATACAGCATGCCACTAAGAGGATGGAGGTTTTAATCTACCTCCCAAGATTGCAATGGGTACCAGATTTAATTCCTTCTTTGATATGCCACAGAATGACACAAGTGATTTTTTTCATTAGCTGAGGTCATGTAATTGAGTTTTTGCCTCAGTGTGGCAATGTGTATAAAGAGATGCTCAACTCAATACACAGTGGCATTTTGATGCATTTTTAATGCTTGATTAATTTAGATACTTGCAGCTCAGAAGCTGTTAGGATTTGTGAAACAAAAGCATTTGTTGAATAGAATATGTATTACTTTGAATAGGGAGGAAAATATCTATTGACTGGCAACATAAAGCTATCTTTAGTGAAAGTAGTTGAAATATCTTTGTGAATTTAAATACAAATAGTCCTGTGTGACAATCTGTGTGACAAGGCTGTGTATAAAAAGCTCTTCTGCAAGCTGCCAGCGCATAGACATTGTTGAGGCTCCTGCTTTTCTATTAGCCAAGAGGAAAAATATGATGGGAAGGTGTTTGAGTGAAGAGAGATTTTAGCAGTGGTCTGAGGGCAGAAGAATGACATTAAAATAGAGATGCTCATGTCAGGAAAATGTATCGAGTCACTGAGTAACCTGTTAGGAGAAGTGGAAACTCCATTGGTTAAACCACTTGGAAACAAAAAAAAGGCCAAGAAATAATTTAATTTCTGTTAGAATCTAGGCTATTTTTCTCTTATGCAAGACATGGAAGACACTTTAAACTATCCGTAAATGCCCTAAAATTTGAAATTATCTACGGTTTATTCATCTTAGTATAAAAAGCATAGTGGACTTTTTTACTTCTTTCTCAGTTGCTGGCAGACTGAAACAAATACATTTTTCCCCTTGATTTTCCAATTATACTTCTAAAATTACTAGTATAAGTCTCTTGGAAGCTGGAAATTCAC